CCTTGTGGAAGCTGAAAAAAAGTCTTGTGCATTAGTACATTGCATAGTTAACACATGGTACAAAAGGCTAAATGCTGGTTACTTGGGTGACCATTTCTAGTGATGTGGGATTACCTGTCATGCACTAAGGGTGTTTTTTCGTGCAGACATCAACTGTGGTTGACACCTTACACTGAGTACTTCCTATGAAGCACTGTTCATGAGATGAGACATGGCAGTAACAAAACAAACCACAAAGACATTATTGATTACTTATCTGTGTCTCTAGATAATTCTGTTATAACAGCAACAACCAATGCTACATGTCAGACAGTTCAGCTGGCATATGTAAACTTTATACTCACATGGTTGAACATGTACTGCTGTTCTAGTGTTTCCTTCCATTTAGGATATAATCGTTCTATATGGGCTTCATAATCATTCTGAAAGATGCATGAGACATAGTATGCTACCATAAAATAAATCAAAGGCACATCAGACATGAATTTTATACAAGATTAATTAATCTGTTATTTCTCAGCTAACTGGTAGATCCTCAAGCCAGCAAAAAAAAAATATTATTGAGATATTTGTAATGCACAAAGCAAGGAAGTCACTTTACCTTCAGTGTCCTGAGTCTATCTGTTTTCTTGGACATTGCGGTAATGTAGGATTCAAGTCGACTGAAGTCTCGCAAAAGCTGCTCATTGCGAACTCTGGATTTTCTTTCATCCTCACAGATTTTTTTCCAGTAACTCTGCAGCTTGGATGCTTTCAATTTGGATCTATAGTGAAGAAATATTGAACACGATAAAATAAAGGAGAAGCTAGTAGTGCTCAGAGGTTTGTGCTATACTAAGAATTATGACATATTTAATCAAGAAACAAGCAAAATAAACAGAAGCTGACATAATTAATATGCAAAACAAACAATTTACGGTCAGTGCACGTGTCAGTGCATTAACCATTTAGTTTTTCAATTGTTGGTATTCACTAACTTGCCTGTAAATGTGCATCAGGCTGTGTTTCCAAAAAACTGGTCGCTATGTAAATGTTCATGTTTTTGAAAGCCTCTCTCATGCACATGTTACAATGACTAATGGCTTTCTGCACAATTAGCTAGAAAAATAAAACCCAATGAATAATAGCCCTGTTTTAACCTACGAACAGTTGATCAACTATATTCTAGGTGTATCTGACATGTGGGATTTCAGTCATGACCCAGATAACCACTTGTACTGAACTGTTATAATATACTCACAGTCTGTCATTAGATCTGAGGTAGGCATTCAGTTGTTCTTCTAGAAGAAGTCTTTGATGTTCTCTGAAAAATAACAAACAGATTAAAACTACTGTACTTAGTCAAAAACAAACCGTGAATTAATGTTGTTAGACAGTAAATAAAGTTTTATATTCAGTACATGTTAAAGAAGCAAAATTATCGAGAACAGGTAATGTTGATTAATCTAATCGTACACTATCTTTTGATTTATCATGAACTAAAAACTTTCCAGCAATACATAAAAGAAGTATTCATTTGATGAAACGCTGACAATTTCCAGTGTTCTCTGCAGATAAAATGCTCAAGAGTAGTGAATAATTTGCATATTATTACAATATGTTAATTGTATTTATTACATTCATTATACCATGGAGGTAGAAAAGATTATACTATGGCAATCAATTTTTTCTCAATAATACAAAATAGTCAGGCCACTTTTCTTTCATGCTCTGGGGAGATCCCTGATTTTGTACTTATTGTTGGATGGGATTGTGATCATGAAACAAGTCAATGACAACTTGAAGTTCCCTTCCACTTTTTAGTGTGTGTCAACATTGGTAGCAAATAATAACTTCCTTTTCGTGCATGAGCAACATTTTTTTAAAAAAAAGAGATTAATTAACGGTAGTAACCACAGAGTTGAAATCGAGGTTAACGGCCTTCGTGATGTAACATGTTTTGAAATAATAATAATAATAATAATAACTTTATTGCATCCTTAGAAATACAATGTTTCTATCAGTTAATAGCAATAAAGATTAGTTGTGATAACTACTACTACAAAAAGAAAGTTAGTTGTTAATAGGATAAAGCAAGTGTTACATATCAAATGGCATTTTCATTCCTTGATTGAAATGCGTTATGAATATAATTGCCAATCTTTTTTATTATTACATCATCTTTTGAAGTCATCAAGAAATTAAATTTCTGGAGATCATCCTGTGTTTCTTCTGGAAATGTAATGTCTTGAATGATTTGTTGGCGTATTACTTTATATTGTGGACATTTCATAACAAAGTGCAGTTCGTCTTCTATTTCATTCTGTGAACATTGTTTGCAAATTCTATTTTCAGTAGGTATTTTTGGTTGCATATGTCTCCCTTTTTCTATTGCTAAAATGTGATTACTAGTTCGAAATTTTGTCATTGAAATTCTTTGTTTCAAATTTAGTACATCTAAGTATTTTTCAAAATTATAAGAGTCTTTGAATTTTTCATAAGTTCTCAGCTGTAAACAATGACAGTTGACAGTTGTAAACAATAACTAATTTCCATGCATACGCGATATCAGACCAATTAATTTCAAATAC